GAGAGTTAAAATAAAAATACCCTGCTAACTCTACTACAAACGGCGATGAAAATGAAATCGACTGCACGTTGTGTGTAGCACACAGTTATTAAACCTCGTTGTCAACATAAACACAAAAAACATTTAGCAACCCGAGAAACACACAAACACTCTCACACACACACACACACACACACAGACACACACACACACACAGTACGTAAGCTGTGCCCATGGCTGTCAGCCAGTCGCGCAGCTGGCTGTGCCCGCGAATTCCTGGCCCGCAAATTCGCGGGTCTATCTACAGTAGGCTATGTACTGAGTGTGTGTATTTCGCGGGTTGAGTGATGTAAAATGACAGTGGTATCCCGTGGAGGAATTCTGAAATGTTTTACCGTTACATCACAAAAACGCACAGCAGAACCAGACCCTGGAGCGCCGGCCTCTTTATTTACTTACTCCTCTTCATCCCCTATGGGTAATAAGGCTGAGATGAGAACCCTCCATCGTATTTAGTCCTTAGCAATATGCTGCGCCTCTCTTCTCATGTAGGGATGGGTACCGAGCCCCGGTATTAAACGGGCTCCGCCCGGGCCGGAATTATTAAAAGGCAGTGGTAACGTTAAGCTCCGACGTTATCTGACTTTTTATCGATACTGGAGACATTTAAAAAATATATGTCATATGTATTATTGCTACATAAACATTATATCGCAGTTTTAGTTTATCCAACTCCGTTTCTAATATGCAATAAGACTTTCCAATCCAGACGAGATCTCTCTCTGCAATAAGACTTTCCAATCCAGAGGAGATCTCTCTCTCCCGTCTGTGTGCGAGGGGGCGGGGCAGTTTGTAAAGGTCTCCTGACTGTGTTACACACTGTCATCCTGGTTAGTGGTTACTCTGGGTTCTGTCTTCAGGACAGAGTGTTGGATTTTTTTGTTAATTGGATGGGACTTGATTTGATTCAATATTAGAGTCATTTTCTCGTTTGTGTGTTTGTTTAAATATATTTGGCCTTTGTTCATGTGATTGACTGATTTACTCAAATAAAAAGGTTGATGAATTATCATCTAATGATTTGTAGATGATGTTTTATTTATGTTAAAGGTCACTTTGAATGATTTTAACTAATGATAATGTAGAAAAACTAATATTTCAAATTCGGGACGGTCCACATTAATTTCGGGACGGCTTAGATTGTATTTTGGGACGGTGCCGGGAGTACTGTATGGTGTAAAAAGTTAGTCGAGAGCCCTGGGTGCAGTGTTTTTCTACTGCGAATCAGGCTAGGGTTAGGGCTTACAGTATTAACGAGGTCCTCTTTTAATTATTTCCCTGATTCTAGAGGTATTCAATTGCCAACTTTATATCAAATGGATTCTCATACTTTTTTATAATTTTGTCTGATGAACCTACACCTGGCGTGTACCTGAATTCTGAGGAGATTGAGATCTGCCACATACTTGGGAAGCCGTTGGAAAGTGGATTCCAAAGGGTGATCATAAAACTTGTGAGCAGAAAGACAAAAGTTCGTATGATGATAAACGCCAAGAAACTGAAAGGGAGCGGAATCTACATTAACGAGCACCTCACGAAAAGGAACGCGGATATTGCAAGAACTGCGAGAGACNCGTACGTACGTACGTACGTACGTACGTACGTACGTCGTGTGTGTGGTGTGTGTGTGTGTGTGTGTGTGTGTGTGTGTGTGTGTGTGTGTGTGTGTGTGTGTGTGTGTGTGTGTGTGTGTGTGAGAGAGCTTATTTAAAGGGGCTGCATGTCTTTGCTGGGCGGTCGTCACCAGCTCAGCATCACCAGTTTACCGTCTGCTCCTTCCCGGAATAAACTCTGAATATTTTTTCGAAGAGACGACTGCTGCAGAAACAGTCAGTAAGAAGAAAACACTTGATTTGCTTCGATGAATGAATGAATGGATTAAATGCTTTCCGGTTAATCTGGTTTATTTTTGGCTGATTTAAATCCTTGCTGATTGTTTCTCTTTCCTGTTGTTAACAACTTTACTGATTAGATTGCTGATTGACCAATAATTGGTTAACTGCATATGTTTTACTGACTGTTAACCAGTTAGTCTGAGCTGTGTGATTGGTTCACAAACTGGCTTACTAACTGGTTCATATGGTTTACTAAATGCCCCTATTAGGGTTAGTTATTCTCAAGTTTAAGTGATAATGGTGAAAAATGTCCATCCTAGTTTCTGAAAGTACAAGGTGAGGACTATTACAGACTTTAGAAATTCTGTTTTTATTATATAAAAGCAGATATTTTGAAAAAAACAAATATATTTTCTGCTATTTAAGCATGCAAAAATACTGCACAGCTTACCCCAAATAGTTTGCATGATCTAATTTGTATTCAACTACTAATTGACAGGTTTTACTTTGCAGCTGGTGACACATTTGGTGACACAGTTTTAAAAACATTTATTCACATTTTATTTTGCTGAAGCCTTTATCCAAAGACTCTTAACAATTAAAACCCACCATGAAGTTACAAACTCAAAAAAGCAAGAACCATGCAGGTACATTAGCCTTCGATTAGCAGACCATTTGAAAGTGCTTTTGGGTTTGGGTTGCTTTACTGCCTGGTTTACATACAGATTGTTTCCTTCTGCACTTACTGATTGATTTACTTACTGGCTTGTTTTAATGGTGGACCAATAGTCTGTCAACTGTTTACTAATTGACTTTGATTGTTTGTTATTGACTTCACAGACTGGTAATGTTGATTGATCCTGTGTGATTTACTGGCTAAGTGATATATATATTTTTTTTATTTGCTAGCTGGCTGACTGGTTTTGATCGACCAGTAATGGGCTCTTATTGTTGTTTGGTGTATATTTAGTCTGTTAACTGGTGGACCCACTGTTGACTGTTTTAAATAATAGAATTTGTGGCTGCAGTGTATACGTACTCAACAAAACATCGATAAACCGGTTACAACAGGTCCAAAATGCTGCAGCCAGATTACTCACTCGGTCCAAAAAAACATGCCACATCACTCCGATCCTTTCTGCCCTGCACTGGCTCCCTGTCCGTCTCAGAACCCAATTCAAAGTATTGGTCTTCACATATAGAGCTGTCCATGACCAAGCCCCAGCCTACATCAATGACCTCATCCACCCTCACATCACANAATGGTTTGACGGGGCGGGGAGCGTGTGTCTGCCCTCTCTCTCTAGAGGAGATAACCTTCAGATAACGTATATCTTTGCCTCAACCTAATTTGATTTTACGCTATAACTTACAAATACATGTTACTTATGTATTACGTATATAAAAATTTTACAAGAGGTCATGGCTATTTTTCAGTCTATTGCAGGCCTCCGAATTGCAATGGTGACAGAAATTATAGGCCGGGCCGCCTCGGGCAAATATTGGCCCCGAGCCCATGGGTAGGTAGTACCCCTCTCCGCGGCGTAAACGATTCCTGATTATGCTACCTCCAAGAGTAGAGTCGGAATAATGGGTATCCCCTACTTCTCCTCATTCATTATTCCTCCGGCCGCGAGGTCCAGACAAGACGACACGCAAAAAACACTACATTGCCATTTGTAAAGTCTTAAGAGGTGCCCACGTGACAGTAAAATGTAAGTGAGTTGGGCGCTTATGTGTGGAGTCATGTCCGGAATGACTCTATCTGGGCGCCTTAAAACGCCCGGTCCTTAAGCGCCCCGTGTCGGTCGACACGCGACCTTGACTGTCGGACCCGTGCGAATGCACATCACACACAACACACAAAGCGCCCAAGTTAGCAAAACACACAAATACAACTGTTCCTCCAAATTATTGACCACAACCTATGGTGTGTGCATGTCAGCTAAGCAAAGTAGCGGTAAACATCATCTCAATCGCCAATAAAATAAAATGAGAGCAGGGTGTAAGCAGGTTTTCATTAAAAAATAGGAGGCTGGAAAAAAAAAGCCGCGCCCTGCTGCCTGCAGGAATTGAGCTCCGGGACTAACTGTGTTACAGACTGTCATCCTGGTTAGTGGTTACTCTGGGTTCTGTCTTCAGGACAGAGTGTTGGATTTTTTTGTTAATTGGATGGGACTTGATTTGATTCAATATTAGAGTAATTTTCTCGTTTGTTTAAATATATTTGGCCTTTGTCATGTGATTGACTGATTTACTCAAATAAAAAGGTTGATGAATTATCATCTAATGATTTGTATGATGTTTTATTTATGTTAAAGGTCACTTTGAATGATTTTAACTAATGATAATGTAGAAAAACTAATATTTTAAATTCGGGACGGTCCACATTAATTTCGGGACGACTTAGATTGTATTCCAGGAGGATGGTGAAAAAAGTTAGTCGAGAGCCCTGCAAACAATATTTAACTAATTCCTGCTATATTGAAAATGTATATGCAGGATCATTTGCTGTTAAATGTTGAAGCCAGCCATTTCATTTGCCTCTTGTATAAACCAGAGTTTTTTGCTGCTTCCTTTGTTCCCTTGTTGCACATTTTAAAAGTTCACTACAGGAACACACTACTGTTTTTCCTGTGTATCATAAATGGACTCAATTGCGTTTGTGCAACCCAGTGATTCAGGATGACAATAAAAGGGACCTTGAATCTATTGTCTTTTAATTAGCATTAGAACAAGGTCACATTCTGCAGTTGTCTACACACACACACTTCTTCTGACACACCAATCACAGCAGGTATAGCCAGCTCAGTACCTTAAGGTCCTTGTTGAGGCCGATAATAGCAGTTGGTGTGAAGGCCAATGACAGGAAGTGGGAGAGGGGGAACCAGAACCAGAACTGGGTGAAGACCAGCAGGCCGACCACTGTTGGCATGTGAGTGTGACCCGTCCTGGACTGCAGAGAGATGGTCATGTTACGTCCACCTGGACAGAGGGCAGAGGAGGGGGAGAGGGTGTCAGTGTTATGGTACACACCTACATGATATTGTAAATTCAACAGATGATAGACAAGTTTAAAAAAGGGGGGGCGGGGTCGGTGTGTAGCAGCGCTGCTGGCTTCCTCCAAGTTTACAGTAAAATAAACTGGTGGTGTGACCAATGGCCATTTACAATTATTAGTACTATTACTATTATTAGCATTAGTCTATATTTTGGTTGAAACTAAGCCAGAAAAAAAAAAAAAAACATAAATAATAATTAAAAAATATATAAATAAAATCGAATTTTAAAAATTATTTTCGATTATGGAGACTGTANGATTTTCTTAGGTCATTAGAGTTTATTAGAACCCATTTCAGTTTCAAAACTAGATCGTAGCCAAAACCAATAATTTGTCATTTTAGTTATATAAACATAACATAAGATTATATCTTGTCCTTAGTTGATGGAAAACGCACAGGGTTGACTTAGAATGCAAGCTTTGCAGGAGAGTATCAGGTCAGGGTTTGTGGCCTGTTTTTACCAGCTGGTGTTATGGCCGGGCATTTGCTTACCTCTGATAAAACAATGATTCGCTTTTTTTTCTTCCGCCGTCTTCTAGCCGATAAATGGCCCAAATATTCCAGCCAGTTTATTTCTCCCAAGCATGCTGGCTTTAGACTTTTTCCGGTTGTCAGGTCATTTTTGACGGACAGGGGATTGCAACATCTTCCGTAATAATCCATTATTACCCGGTCGAGTGCACAATTTATCACTCACTCGCGCTGACGGGGGGGCGGAGGGTATTCGATTAACGCAACCACTGCTCCCAAGCCCTGTTGTTGCCATTTTATTATCTGTTAAATAAGGTTAGTTAGACCATGAGTTAGACCCGAGTCTTCCTGACAGTTCACAGTGTGCCGCTGCCCGGTGTAACTCAAATGTACCGCCGCGCGCAGCACAGCCACACAGCTGCTGCCCAGCGCAGCACCGGAAATGGAACTGCTGGGAGAAAAACTGACTATCAGAGATGTAACGTTATCTTTGATAATATTTCGTCTCCTCATTTTTCGTCAACGAAAGTAAAGAGAGATTTTGGCATAGTTTTTATTTAGTAAACTACATTTTCGTCTCGTCACTTTTCGTCAACGATATTGCATGATGATTTCTTTGCAGTTATTGTTTACTGCCGTCGGTGCCGTCTCGTCATCGTCTCGTTTTCGTCATGGAAAAAAAGGTCGTTGACGAACATATTTCGTCATAGTTTTAGTCAACGCAAATTAACACTATCCAGAAACCAATTCAAAGTATTGGTCTTCACATATAGAGCCGTCCATGGCCAAGCCCCAGCCTACATCAATGACCTGATCCACCCTCACATCACAACCCGGGCCCTGAGGTCCTCTGAGCAAGGCCTCCTAAGGGTGCCCCGAACCAGGCTAAAGACTAAGGGGGCCCGTGCCTTTGAGGGCGGTGGCCCCAAGGCTTTGGAACAAACTCCCCCAGATAATAAAAACCTCTGCCTCAATAAAGATTTTAAGGGGCAGTAAGACCACCTTTTGCCAACAGGGCCTTTGGTTCGTCGGGGGTGGGTGGTTAGTGGCTATCTTTTATTGGTAGTCATTAATTAGTACCATATGAAAAAAATATAAACCATGACTGTAGATTTATATACTTAATTATATCTACAATATATTAATAATAAAAAGTACTAGATAGAATATGAAATATCCAAATACAATAGTAACATGTACGTAAAGCACATATTGATAACAATACACGAATAGAATATAGAGATGAGAGTGGCCATATAAAATAAAGTTTTAACTTACTTACATTCAAGAAGGAAAGAGAGAGATCTTAATTAAGATTATAGTCCAGAGGTCCAACTGCTGTGTGTCACCAGGCTCTGTGGACTTTCTTCATGACTTATCTCTTCACCCCTCTTCTTCTTCCTCCTTCTGTTTTCCTTCCAATACCAGCAAGCACACAACAATTGTGACACTCTGAAATTGATGTGTAAAAATAATCTCTTAGATAGGCAGTGGTCATTTTAAAAGGTAAAGTGGTTTTATTTGTTCATGCAAAATATTGTAACTTTTTCCGAATGTGACATTCACTACGTTACACACTCGTGCTTCAATTTTGCTAACCAGCGGTCAACGGCATTGTACCGGATAAAGGGCGGAAATTCTCTAACGCGGCTTGCACATCCAACAAACAGAGGCGCCAGCTAACTAATAAGAGCAGGGCTGGGCTCTGGGGGTTTCAGACCAGAGGGGTTGAAAAGAGGGTGCTGCAGACAAGGGCAAGTATTGAGAAAAATAAAGAAGCTTTTTGAACATTAGAAGCATGGAGACCACTAAATACCGATGATAACCTGAACATTCCAGCAGGATTTGAGGGACTGCTTTAAAGGTAGAGACAGCAGAATACTGATCATTAAACCTGGAATCCGAGCAGGAGAAGGACTCTTTAAGTAGAGACCACACTAGATCACTGATGGATACCCTGACAATCAGAGCACGGAGAGGCCTTCTTTTAAAGTAGAGACCACATACATACAGTCACTGATATACACCTTGAACAATCAGCTAGGAGAGGAACTTCTTTCAAAGTTAGAGCACAGTACTGATATTAACACCTGAACATCACAGGAGAGGACTCGAAGTAGACACTACATCTGATATGTCACCTGGAACATCAGCAGGGAGGTGGACTCTTTAAACGGGTAGGAGACACTAACATACTTTAGATATACACCTGAACATCAGCTTGGAGTAGACTTCTTAAAAATAGAGAGACCACTACATACTGAATACACTGGACTATCAGGCGGAGGAGACTCTTTTAAAGTTAGACACCTTACATATCTGATATAACCCACGCGTGAAACATCAGAGGGCGACTTCTTTAAAGTAGAGGCACTACATTACTGATATACACCTGGAAACATCAGCAGGAGAGAACTTCTTTAAAGTAGGACACTACCATATTGCATAGTACACCCTGAACATCAGCAGGGAGAGGACTCTTTAAAGTAGGGAGACCTCTACATACTGACTATACACCCCTGTAACATCAGGCAGGAGAGGACTCTTTAAAGTAGCAGACACTAGATTATGATATAAAACCCTGGAACATCCAGGGCAGGAGAGGGACTCTTAAAGTAGAGACACTACATACTGATATACACCTAGGAACATCAGCAGGACGGAGGACTCTTAAAGTAGAACCTTACCATACGATAATCCCCTGGACATCAGGGCAGCGAGAGGACTCTTTAGAAGGTAAGAAGACACTTAGCATACTGATATTAACACGCTTTGAAACCATGGCAGGCAGGAGGAGACTCTTTAAAGTATAACCAGCTTCACATGACTGATATACCACCTGAACATCCCACGCAGGAGAGGACTCTTAAAGTAGAGACACTACATACTTGATACTAAACTGCTGGAACCACCCAGCAGGAGAGGGACTCTTTAAATGGTAGAGACACTACATTTACTGATATACACACTGAACCCATCAGCAGAGGAACTCTTAAAGCCAGTATGAGACAAAAAAGACGCATTTGGAACATGAAAGGCATATCGACGATCATGTCTGTGGTTTGTAGAATACTAAGACTGCCAAACTAAGAAAAGGTTTTTCTCTTTAATTGGTTCATTTGTTCTGTTTTTATTTCAGAAGGCTGTATGCCATAAAATAGTATGTGCTGGAGCATAACTGTGTGTATAAACTAACCAGATTTGGATCTTCGTGGGGTTCTTTACACCGTGGTCCTGTGCTCTTGGTGTTCCAGTGTTGGGTGTGTAGGCTTGAAAAAGTCCTATCAATAAAATACATCTCGGTGCCTATATCTTGCTGTTCTTTCTTTTCTAAGGTCAACATTGTTTAATTAAACCACAAACCTCCCCCTGCTGTTCGCAGTCTTCAGAGCTTTGGATGTTGTCCAGTCTCTTGTCCCAGTTCGGTCGAATTAAGGCCTTCAATTCCAAATAAACTATAATTAAGAAATAGGACGACCCATGAAGCTCGTCGTGGCGCCTCGGGCCATTCAATTGCCAAACTTTCCAAGCTACTTGGGGAAATTGGGGACATGGTGTCCGTTCTCATGTTGTCCTCTCCTATTCCCTTTTGATTTGGTGTTTATGTTATTTCTTTCTATTCTCTTAATTGGTTTGTCCTCTCTCTGCCCCGCCCCTTCATCCCTCCCACCACCATCTTGTTGTCTGTTCTCTCCATTTCCTCAACTCCCCCCTGCCTGTCCTGCTCACACCAAACAGGCATCTAACTCCCCAGACTTCTCAAGCCCACAACCTGACAGGTAAAATAGAAAATGGACTCAACAGGTATCAATCCTGCTCCATGAGCAACAGAGCGAGCTGCTTTGGATTCTTTACATGTCATTACGGTGTTGGAAAGCCCTTCACGCGCCTGACCCATAAATTTGCTCTAAGGAGCAAAGAAGGGGAAAGAAAAGGGAAATCCAATTAAGGCGAAATGTGAAGAGAGGGAGGAGAAAAAGTTGGTCGCGCAAATTCTGTCTCACACGGCATGTGTTTTTTATACCACCCAAGTGGATTCAAATGATGTGCGTGTGTGTTTCTGTGAACTCTGAAAAGGCAGGGACAAGGAACCCCACGGAAGACTGTCGAGGTAAGAGGTGCTGACAAGCTGATACTTTTTATTATATATAAACCTGAAGCTTAATGGCATACTGCTATGGCGCTGGTTTAATTGACGGCTGGTGTCGCCCCAGGAAAGAGCGCGTATGCTAAAGGATGGCAGTGGGAGATGTCGTGGTGGCCCCACCCATAACACCAACGCCACATGCTGCTCATTAACATCCAAAGCCACACTTTCATCTCGTAATGAGCCGAAGAGCCTGTCGTGAGGACAGAGAGAAAACACCGGGGGGCAGGGAAGACGTAACAACTTTTCTTAATTAAATTGACTTTTCTTTGTCTTAACAGGTCCCTGTGAATGTTGTTTACACT